GATGTGATCCACAGTGTGTTGCTCTGTTAATTTAGAAAAAAACAGCAGATATGCCCCTACCTTTATAATCAATATCAAATCATGATCAATCTTTTCAATATAATAAAAAACTCATCAAAATGAAATGTTTTACTGGTTGGAGTTAGTATTAGCTCCATGCTAAGAAATTTTGATAAACCCCTTCAATATAAAACGCGATACATGAACCTCTGCCAAAATTTTGTGTTATTTGGACCAGTTGTCAATGAGAGACAAAAACATGACTTGACAAGTTGGCCATACATATATATAGATAGATAGATTGAGATAGCACAACGGTGCTTAGGGACAAACAAAGAAGCAGTTGAGTGCTCCCAAAACTTGGGGACCTCTTCTTCGATACATATTAATTGTGGCCTAGCTAGCACCACTGCCGCGAAAGAGTGTAGTAGCTAGCTAGGTAGTTACAAACTTAAAAATGAAGTGGGGGCAGGGCAGGCAACACTACTTGATCAAAATCGTTATACAGTCGCGCGCCCACATATAATAAGGAAGGATTAAGATGGGACGACTTTGCAGATCCAGACACTGCCATATATAGTAACACATCAGCTGTAAGCTTATCCATACAAACCCTAGCTAGCTGTCTCTTCTTCTTCTCAATATGCAGACAAGCTACTAAGCTTACTATTGCTCTGCAATTTCCCACTTGCTGCATGTGGGAATGCATGCAGATGCAGTTTCCATTTCTGCATGTTAATAATCCAGTCCTAGCGACAGTGCATGCGTACCCTCAAATCATTATATATTTTGGCTGTTTTTTTTTTCGCTTCCTTCACTTCACATGCAAAACTACAGTACTTACTAGTCAGTACTAGTGATCAATGTATAGGGGCATTTGTAATGCAGATTCTACCCCGACTAAATTTCTCAGCATTTTTCACCTAGTGGCTAGCTTGTGACCAAAAAGACTCATGAAATTCTTTCTGGGGATAATATATCACTGGACTGGATAAGATAGATAGACGAGACCACGGAGGGTCCGTGGTAGTCATCTGGGCCATACATTGTCGTTTCTATATTGCAACATGTATAAGCATAAAGCATGACCAATTAAAGCTCCTCCACCATATTTAGCTGGACATTGAAGAGGTTTTATCCAGTTGCTCATTCAATGCCAGACAAAGACAACATATGTTACTCGGTTATTAACCCAATAACTGTGGCCACCAACATCAAGGTCGTTGTAGTATAGTGGTAAGTATTCCCGCCTGTCACGCGGGTGACCCGGGTTCGATCCCCGGCAACGGCGATTTTCATTTTTACTACGTTAACATGATACTCCTTCTTTGGGATGGCTTTCAATTAACTGGGCCCAGAGCCTTAAAAGTTTAAAACTGTTTCAGGCCTAAGTAGCAGATATCGGTCGGCCTCCGGCCCATTATCCCAACACCGCTACGAGAAAAGTATTTGAAGAAATTGGGAAAGATGTCACAATTCACAAAGCTACTCGCAGTCGGCAGCAGAAGGAAAGGAATCCGCCGGAGAAAAAGCCGTTTAACCAAAGTCTCTCTTTCTAGGCCGTTTTTTACTCTCTCAAGTGTGTGGATATGCAGTCACTGTTTCTCCCGGCGGTATCTTCCGCCGTCACGGTGGGAATGAACCCGTCTCTCCTTCATTTCCGATCTCGGCGGCTGCTGTTTTCTACTCATTCCGTGTTATTTTCGCGAAAGCCCACGCCGCAGCAGTCCTCCCTCTCATTTCACTCTTCTTCCCAGATAACCTATGATCCTCTTGGAAGCAGGGGCCGCAGGTTATCTTTCTCCTCGAAGATTGCTGCTTCCTCTCCGGTTTCTGCTGCTTACACTTCCCCAACTGACGAATCGGAGAGAGCCAAACTTGCTCAGGTCCGAAATTTCCCCCAATTCCAGTTCATATTTTAGCTGGAATCTGAATTTCGTAAGCTTTTGTTCGCTATCTTGCTCGTGTAGTTCCAGCTATGCTACTTTGTTGAGGACTCCAATTCTGGAAAATGTAGTTTAATTTGTCGTGTTAAGTGGCGGGTTTAGATGTTTTATTGGTAAGAGAAGTTGTGGGAAATGATTGGAATTGCACGAATTATTCGTTTAGGGGCTGAATTTTGGTGAAGGGGTTAAGTTGCGAATTGTTCTTTGAAGTAGGGATGGGAGTAGAGGTTGTAACTTTTGTGCACGGTGTAGGTTGCTAAGAGATTGGCGAATACATCCAGGCGTTTCAAGCGGTTTGGAAGTATAGGTTTTTGGGGGCAGCTGATTTGCACGGTGGTGGCCGCTGTGATCCTTTCCTTTTCGGTTGTTGCCACTGGGAGAATCTCGTCCCCTGCAAGTTTCTATACAACCGCTGGTGGTATAGCTGCAGCTTTTATCTCAGTGTTCTGGTCTTTTGGGTATATCCGGCTATCTGAAAAGCTTCGGAGGACTGCGAACGAGCCTTCTAAGGTACCATTCGTTGTGTGTTGCTTTGGTATAATTTCAGAAATGTACATGCTTATCTTAAAATTTCAAAGTAGTCGCTTTTAGGCCAAATTGATTGACGGGGTGATGGAGATAACACCTTAGTTCAATTCTGTATATTAGGACCTTGCGCCAGATGCTAGCCTATATTTCGTTGAATGCTGATCTAGATCCTTAACTGATCAGCAGAAAATGAATGCAAAGTAGTGTTATCATATATCTACACTCAGCTCAGCCACATAGACAAATGAGTAGTATGCATAGATGATCCCTTTTCTTGGTATTGAGTTCATAATTTAGCAATCCAAGGGTACTGGTCCATGAAAGAGAGAATAGTTCTTCGGGTGTTAGTTTTTGCATATTAAACACACATGCCATGATATTCTTTTCTAGACAAGCATTTGAAAATTGTTCTAATGTTCCTCATCATTTGAGAAGAACAACAAGGGATCAGAGTGTTTGGGATCACAACTTTGACCTCTTGATTTTGTTTCATTTTATTCAGTTGGATAATTTACCTGTATGCTAAGGTAGATGCTCTCGCATGGAGTGGTAACTATTGAGCGCTTCCATTACTGATCCACATGGTCCTTTCTGTTTACTTAAACTTCCATGGTGTGGGAAGTCTGAGATCTCATAAGCGAATTTGAGTGTCACAACGTCACCAGGATTTGATTTTTCAGTGTGACATATGACTTTGTATGCCAATATGTGAGTTCGCTGAATATATGATTACCACTGCTTGGGAGCCACTTATTGTCGAGACAACTGAATTCTCTGGGTATATCTGTTTCATATGCCTCGTGTTTCATCAGTTTCTGTTGGTTTCAGGCACCACCTCGGGCTGAGGTCGTAAAAGGCTTGAGAAATGGCATCATCTTGAATCTGTTGGGGATGGGTGCTGCTGTTCTTGGTATGCAAGCCACAGTAGGGACATTGGTAGCCAAGGCATTGACTTCTTCTGCAAACCCTTATTACCAGGGGATCTCTCCAGGATACAGTCCTGTTCTTGCATTGGACGTTTTCTTGGTGCAGGTATATTGTCTCTCATTGAGCCTGCTTCTCTGCTATCTGGTTGCTACGTCGTGGTTCCCAACTGTTGAATTACCAGGGACAGTAATTTCTTTGGCAGAGACTGTTCACAGTTTTCGTTGTCTTACGTACTAATTATGCTGTATGCTATGTTTCCTGCAGGCATCAGCAAACACAATCCTCTCTCACTTCCTCGGGCTTCTCTTCTCCCTAGAGCTGTTACGATCAGTTACACTACCACCTTCAGAAGCCACTCCCGTACCTAGGCTTGCATAAAGCATGTGATGTGAACCATTACCGGGTAGGCGATGAGTTTTGGTCAGCTCGAATGATTAAAGGTTGTAATGGTAGGAACTCCAGTTGTCTTGAACGGAAGAAGTTCCAGATTAGTGTGTACTTTGCAAGCATAAGAACCCTTCTGGTGAAGTTTGAACTTCCCAGAACTTGAGCCAATGTGCATAAACTGCAGCTCTCCATTCTGCTTCAAGATGTGAAAACAGAGAACCTCTATTGGAGACGAGAACAAAAGTCATTCTGCTTCAGGAGTGGAAACTTTGCAATATGAAGATACACGTAAGACAATACACAATCCAACAAAGCTGCAGTTTCTACATTCTAGTCATTGTAATATGGCACATAAATATATAGAGATGATAGAGTACTCGCACCTTTCAGAAAACAATACACGCAGTAAAATCTATTAAAACATGAGAAAACTGATCATAACCATAAACAAAGAAGCAAGCTTTAAGCATCAGACCAGGAGATATACAGATCACCCCAGTCACTCTCCGACACTCCTGATGCCTTCCACCCTGTCTTTGATGTGTTGACAATGTTGTTAGGACAAGGCGGCTGATAATCTCGAAGCTGTTCCATGTTAGAGTCTCCTTTGTGGTGCAGTGCTTGCCGGTTTTAAGGCAGTCGGATTCCTCTCTTGCATTGTTTTAAAGCAGTCGGATTCCGCCCGTTACGTGCCCACTTGGATGCAGCTCTGCCCTTCAACATAGGTCACAACCAAAACTAGAATGGCGATCATGAGGAGAGTCATCTTCTTCATGGTTTTTCTTCTCTCTTTTTGTAGTGGCGGTAGACCGGTAATATTTTGTTTCATTCATCGAGTATCATTTTAGTCTATTTTTGACAATTGGCCTCAAATTCCTGTTTGTTGGCTTAACTGCAAGTGTAAGAAAACAACTTTTTCCCACATAGGCATGCCAGTTTACCTAGATGAAGGGATCTCATCTAAAAGACTCGAACCAACGAAATCCACCCAATTAGTGATCCAATCTTTGCTTATTAATCAGAAACTCAACCCACAGCCGACTAGTGGGAGAAACTTCTTGCATTAATTCAAACTTGCAATCTCCAGGAGCTCCATGGACCAGCATCCATATAACCATAAATCCATAATAGAGATACAAGAACGATCATCTAGACTACAGTCCATTCATCAACCCATAATCGTCAATAGACCACAGATACATAATCCATACACAGCAAGAAAATAGATATCATCCATAGACCATAAACCGAAAAGACATCAGGTACTACCAAAAGCAAAGTTGAATCAGTCCGATGAACTGCCTTCATTCTCCTGACTCGAATCTGAATCACTTTCTTCATCTTCTTCTCCCAGAATAGAAGCATTCACGGTCCGAACCATAGATTGGAACGCTAAGTCAAATGTATAGGAAAATCAGTCTCAACAAATGGAGCACAGATATGAATCAAAACTACTTGATAGAGAAAAAATTATTACCATTTTCAAGTTCTTCTGGATCCTCATAATCATCCTTGGAAAGTGGCGATGAGTAATTCGAAGATCTCAACCAATCTTCACTACATATGAGAGCCTCCATAATTTTGGGAGTCAAAGAACTCTTAAAGGAATCCAACACTTGGCCCTCCGTATCGAAAGGGCTCTTAGAGGATGATGCAGTGGATATAGGGACAGCGAGGATGTCTTTCGCCATCTCGCTCAATATAGGATACCTCACCGCATAGATCATCCACCATCTCAGGATATCAAACTCTTGCGGTAGGGTCCCATTAGGCTCACGAAACTCGGCCAGGTATGTTTCCAGTTCAGTTCTATAAACATCATCCCTGCTCTCATCATAACTATCATTAAAACCACCAGTTTGTTTGCGCACATCCACCTTAGGAATCTCCATCGCAACATAACTTTTGGTTCTTTGGTTGGCAGGCATGAGCATTCTTTGGTAATGCTCAAACAGCTCAACGAGTTCTTCCTTCAGCTCTTCCACCAATTGGTCCCCTCTAGCTTCTCCATACAGCTTTCTCAAGATATACTTTGGATACTCCATTTTGTGTCTAGGATCAAGCACCACGGCTATGTAAAACAACCTATTCATTCTCGCATTTACATCATCCTTCTCAGACCAGTACTTTGCAACTCTGTTATGCATTTTTGAGGCCATGATTCTAACCTCGCCATCTTCACTGGATTCCATTGTATAGCTGTAATGGAACATCTTTCCAAATTCTCTAAGAAATAGATGGGAAGTCACATAGGAAGCGTCGGAGACGAGCAAGGTGAACTCATAGAATTGTTTCAGGTATTTGCACAAATTCCTTACATTATTCCAATCAGTTGGTGTTGGAGGACCCATTGGTTCATCTTTATACCTTTGGGCCTCAAGATCCGACCTGAAATTAGGATCTGATCTCTCAAGTGACTCAAATGGCTTCTCAAATATCACAGCTGCCATCAACATGAAGCAAGTTGAATCCCACCTATTAGGCTCATCCAGGCACAACTTCCTCTTTGTCTCAATGTTGTGAAAGGCAACAAATTCCTTGAACTTAGCATACCTAGAAGGTAACGCAAGTGTCCATCTCACGGCCTCTCTCACCTGACTCACTGATATGCCGATTTCCTCCAACCCATCAGTGACGATCAAATTGATGATATGACTAACACATCGCGTATGAAGATATGTGCCATACCTAATACTGCTCCCCCAAGTGACAAGTTTATCCCTTAAATGGCTGACTGCATCATCCCTCACATTTGCATTGTCAACAGTGATGGAGAAAACACTCTTCAACCCCCACTCTTCCAGGCAACTTGCGATTTGCCCTCCGATATCGCAGCCCTTGCGGCTGGTAATTCGAAAGAAGCTGATAACCCTTCTGTGCAACTTCCAGTCTTTCCCAACAAAGTGAGCCGTTACAGACATGTAATTGTAGTTCCGAGCACACGTCCAACGATTAGTGCTGATAGAAACCCTCCCTGAAGCATTATCTGCGAAATACTCCTTCAACTTGTACCTCTCCTCGAGGAACAACCTAAAACAGTCCTGTCTAACGATCTTCCAACTAGGAATCTCAAACATAGGACAAGCACGCGCCATAAACGTTCTAAACCCTTCGCGCTCAACGTACCTAAACGGCAAGGAATCTAGAATGATCATTTCTGCTAAACGAATCCTAGCTTCAGTCTGATCGAACTTCCAATCGCTCAAAATTTTCATCCTTTCAGCATCTGAACATGGCTGAAGTCCTCCTTCTAATTGCATCATTTCACCATTTTCCCCTCCCGTATCTCTCTTGCAGAGCATACGCTGGTTTTTCAGGGGAGATTTAGTACCGTTCTTCTTTGAATCCGCAGCAGCAGCAGGCTCCGCTACCCTCCTCTTCCCTTTAGTTGCCTCAACCGTTGTTGGTGGTGGTGGGTTTTCCGCAGTAGACTCATTTCCACCAATTCGATGACGCCGTCTTTTGTTAGTGGAACGTAATGGAAGTTGAACATCTTCATCACTCGTCATTCTTCTTCCTCTGCACAATGATGCAAATTGTCAACGTCCAAAGCATAGAATGAGTCAGTTAAGTTTCTCAGTGAGAAGAATGGATTTACCTAAAAAAGAAATGCAGACGAACAGAGAAGAGAAGAGGCAGCTGATTCTGGCCGGAGACCGGCGACGGTACTCAGGGGACGGAGATGGGTCGACTGTGTAGAGGGCTGGCAGCGACTGTGAACCCTACTCTTTTTTTAGACTGAACTGTGAACCCTAAGTTGGGGGAAGCTGAATGGAATGAAAAAAATAGAAAGTTGGAGCCTTTTATAAGTTGCTAGTACGGTTCTCGAAAGCAAAACGGTTTGAGACCGGACTGGGAAGACGCGGAACGGCGCTAATCGAGACCGGAGCTGATTCTGGACTGTACGGTTTGACGGTATCCGGTTAACCGTTATCTCCACCGGCGCTGTTTCTGGACTGTACGGGCTCACGGTTCCCGGTTAAACGTGATCCCCAAGAAATAACAATTATACAAACAGAATTCAGACATCCAATATTTTCCGTTCAAGCTTTCAATATGTTACCAATGATAGAATATCAATACAAACATATAATCACAAACACAGCAACGGCTCTTGAAAGGACTCCAGATTTAAGAATGAAGAATTAAAATTTTTTTTTTAGTTTTTTAATCGGCTCTTATCTTCTTCATTTTTATTCGGATTTCAATTTTTTTTCACAGATAGAACGAGTTCTTTGTGCTATACAAAATGAGATTCATTTTCAATCTTTTTTGAGAAAAAAAATTTCATGCCTCTCATTACCAATCCCATACCATATGGTATCTCCTTCATTTTTAAGTCTTTTTGAATTTTTTTTTTTTGCAAGAATGAACGAGTTCATCATGATCTATTGGATCTACAAATTTATTGGTGAACAAAATACAGGACAAAAATATACCACACAATACCACTGTGGTACAAGGTGGTATCTTGTGGTACACAATGTTGAAAGTCGTAAATAACAGTTAGTATACTCCTACTATCATGTATTCAACCATCCTATAGTCTTAGTATGTTCTTACCACAATGGTACGCTTTTAATACTATATGATATGCTCTTATTTCAATACCAGTCAACACCATATGGTATAAACTGGTAAAAAATTGTTTTTTTGTTTCCAAAATATATCAAAGTGAATATCATTTTGAAGAGGACAATTAATCTGATCTAACTGTGCAAAAAAATTAAATTCCAACTTAAAACGAGTGAGAAATCGTCTGTTAAAGATTAAGGGGAAAAAATAAAAGGCTTTCCAAACGATAGAAGGGGCGCTGATATGGCGGATTGGGATTGGATTATGCATGTATGTACAAAATGAGAAACACTGATGAATAAACACAGAAACAACCAAATGTGAATTATCAATTATCATCACACCTTGTTTGAAAACTTTGTTTGGACCAAACAACAACTAAAATTGGTCCAAACAAAGTTTTCCAACAAGGTGTGATCCACACCTTTTGATACGACATGGAATTGGTATTCGTAGTTATCAAAGTTGCAGAGCCAAGAGCAGATATTAGAGTAGGGATAAAGCGGAATTGATTTGCAATCTCACACCTTGGAGAAGGCTCTATCAATATAGGGTAGAAGTTCGACCATAATCAAGGAGAATACTCGATTGATACAAAACACAAATTTCACAAGCCAAAACTCAGTGAACAAGAATAAAATCAATAATTTACAAAGTCTGCCCTAAAACTTGCGTCTAAGCCTTTAAATAGGCCAAAGAAACAAAAACTAATCAAATACTAGAAAAGGAAAAGAATCCTAAACAGTAAAAGTAATTTGAACCTGTCGGAGGCTTTTTCTCGGTCACCCTTCTCCTGTTCCCCGATCGGGGAATGCATCCTTCTTGATCGAGGCATCGTCTATTCCCAATCCCCGATCCCTCCTTCTAATCCGCGACCGTGGATTTCGTCCCTTTTGGTTGGGGGTCTTTCATTCGCTAGCCCTGATCGCGACCTTTTGATTCTCGGTCGGTTGGAGAATTGCATCAGTCCCTCTCTGTTGAGGAAGTTTTTCCCTCAAAACTTGTGTGTTCTTGCAAGAGAGCCCATCACCAGAACTTCCCAACTGAATTCATCTCATAGCAATCAACATGTGTCTTTGAGCCATAAGATGGGTTCCACTTCCATCCTCCGACTTCGAGCCACTTGGATTTCATTTCTCCCTTGCGCAATTCAACTTCGTCTGTTGTTGATCTACTCGGACTCAGCTGGCGACAATGGTTTGAACATAAATGTTCGATCTCCTTGCTTCAACTGGTAGCTATTATGTCTTCCGTCATGAATAATTCAATGATCATATTTCCATGGACGACCCAATAAGTATTTGACACGCCAAAACACAACACCAAACTGCGACCAAGTGTAATCGCAGTCCGGGAATGCAGTAACAGGCAAGTTCTATTATCAACCCGGGGTTTAGATCTACTGCTTACTCCGTGATTATCTATTATCTAGCAAACTAATTCGAGTGATTGTTGTTTAAAGCAAAAGCAGTAAGAAAGCAGGAAATGGTTCGTTTTCAAAAGCAGGAAAGAGTCACTCGGGAATGAGTCCCCCTAGCCCCTTGATTAGGTTCAATTGTAATTCCCCTGGGTTGATTCACTGTTGATTAGACTGCGGAAGATCCGACAGTAGCTTGGAATCTCTTAAGCTGACCAAGCCCTCTCAGTCTAACTATCCGGCAGACGACTAGTCTTCACCGGGATAGAAAGCTGAAGCAATAAGCACAGAACTCCACTACTGGAATTGAATTCCAGTACAAAGCAGTAAACTGGATAACTCTCGTATAACCAATCTCCTACTATCGAGTGAAGAGGCTCTAACAACCTAATCAGATTCTATCTATCTCAGGTTGCAGCAGAAATCGAGAAAAGCTGATCAGACTTCAAACAATTCAATAAACATGCCTCATTCGATTAAAACCAAACAGTATAATCATCCCAAGTCATTACAATCAAATCCCTAACACAAGGAACTAGGGTTCTTCATACCCAAGTGAGAGAAGGGTTCTACTCCATAGAG